CGGAAAAGAAGGAAGAAACAGACCGAAGCGATGCTTCTCTACACAATAAACAACTAGGTAAGCAGAAACCCCAAACTACTTAAAAAGCTGTAAGACCAATGAGTCTGAAAGATGAACAGCATTTACCCGCCAAGGCTCAGAGTGAACTCAGAGGCCATACTCCAACAAACAGAGAGAGACCAGAGACACAACCACACTTTATCTGTTTTGAGGTGAGCAGTTGTGCTAGCGCTGGGACTTGATGTCTCTTAGCCTGTCTCTGCACAAAGACTATGACAGCCCAGATTCCTGCCCAGTCTCAGGTGACAATGACCATCTCTGCTGTCCTCAGCACGGCAATAGCTACAAAAGAGTGCTAACAAAGCCTAACCTCAACTTATTCACCATGTTCTACCAGGAGCTGCATGGACAGAAGGGGATGCTGGAGAACCAGCTGCTAAATGAAAAAACATACAAGCAAATAGAATATGGCTTGGTGGTGACAAGTCCCAGACAACCCCTCAGTCCAGTTACCTTGGCAAGGTCAAGCTGGCGGACTTTACTGCTGACGTTCTCGGCCAGGTTACAGGTGAAGGTGATCATCCCCGCCAACTGCTGGGCATCCCCCTCGATAAGCTGCAAATTAGGGCTGGAAACACAAGCGAACTGAACATGAGATGCAACTAATAAGTAGTTGGATGGTCTTGCAACAGTAAGATGGTTCTTCCTCCAAACCCAATTGTGCCTGTCAGTGACTCTCTCTGATTTCATGCCTCTCCTACAGGAGCAAAGCATCAAAATCAAACAGACTGCTTTGGAAGAGGCGCAGAGGCAGAGTAACACCTGTCTCACTACCAGACAGGGCATAAATGAGCCACTGAGGCTTTAAGATACTCCCCAGTTCTGAAGTGGAAGATGAAGTCTGTGAACTGGTGCTCCATGCTTCTACTAGACATGAGGCCACTTATGATGACTTCCCAGACTGCCTGCACAAGCTCACTACGAAGAAGCAGTAGTATTTATCCATACATGTAAACAGCCTGACTGCCACAAGACATCTGATCCAAGTATTGATGCTGAAACCGAACCATATCTGGGGTGAGATCTTCCAAGAACTGCTCAGCCTACACTCAAATAGGTTGGTCAGTTCCCTGTTAGTGCTGCTGGGAAGAACCGGGATGAGGATCCAAGTAGTCTTCCCTACCACAATCTGATTTAAAGCCCAGCGTTTCCTGAGAATGAATGTGTTCATCGCAAGACTGAAACAAATTTTCAGGTCATGCAGGAAGCAGGGAGGTCCTGAACAGTGCACAGAAGCAGGAGGAAGGGGAGAGGGTGGCGATCACTAACCCCATGCGATGAAGCGCGACCATCTTGTTCTCTATAGTGCTTTGCTGCTCCAGGAGGGCATCCAGCTCTTCCTGCACCACTTTCTGAAAGAAAAGGACGAGGGAAGTCTTGTGTGACTTCAGCTCTCCTCCAGACCAGCAGCGTCTCACAGACTACATCCCAGTCAAGCACACGCAGCTAACGAGGCATCAGCACTTCCAAAAGCTCCTGTGACAGCTAACTCCTTCCTAAGCTCTCACTCGAATTCGGTAAATATTTACATTTACGCCATTTCGAAGCACCAGTTGTGCAAACCTCACCGCGCAACTTCCAAGTCGCATAACCCACCAACCCGTCCCCTGGCCGAGCTTCCAGCTCACGAGGACCCCGAACCCGCAGCCTGCTCGCGGTTCGAGGACAGCATTCCGAACGCGAACCCCGGCGTGCCGCGTCCCCCG